ACAGGTTGTGAGGATTATATGAGAACTTGAACATAAACCGTCTAACACCACATTGCTTAACACATGGTGAGTGATATTGTATATGCAAATATCAGCAAACAGCATTTAGAACTTTTGGCTCCTGAGGGTTCAAATTTTCCCTGTTTTTTCTGCCTACCGTTACTCGTTTTTTCTGCCTACCGTTACCTTGCCTTTGTGAACTTTATTCCTCTTCCATTCTTTTTCATTTCACATCCCTAACTTAATCTCTCATTTATTTGGCCCTTACTGTTCTGCTGTAAACTTCTTGCCTATCCCATTCTTAAGGGCTTCAGGTGTTGGTGACAAAGTCAAAGTCAGGTTATCATGCAGGTAATAATGATGAAGAGACAAATCAAGGACAAAGACAGCCAGTGAGCAGCTTCTGACTTATGATGCATAACGAACATGCTGGAGGGTTCTGGGTTACAGTCAAACTTGAAATGAGCCCAAGAAAGTTGGGCTGAGATGAAACGGTGCCTGGAGCATTCAGACAATATCGACGCCCCTGTATATTTGCTCAAATCATCCAGAGTTGGCCCAACTGGCTAGCTCCTGTGGCCTCCAGTACCTGCTGTTGAGCTGCACAGAGTACTTTTGGGTCCCAAACCCTCTTTATGTCCTTGGATTTAGAGCAGTCTTTCACTACTTATCCCCAGCACTCAAGAATGTAAACTCACTGACGGAGTTTTGCACATTGCTACTTATGGAGGACAATGTTTCAAAAAAGTAGTTTATAGTTTCTTTACAATAAAATCCACTCAACCCCAAAGCTGTAGCAACTTCGATCATTTAGAAGCAAATTTAAGATCTCCCAGTGACTCAGGCTTACTATTATAAATATCTTTTTTGCTCTATATGCATAAATGCCAGTCCAGAGGGAGTTCTAATTAATAAAATGCCAGATTTGTTATTATTAGTTGTAATAATATAAAAGTATCTAAACATAAAACATACTACTAGTAATAAAAGTGAACTGGTTTAGCTAGACAATTACTCAAGATGGAATAATAATAATGATAAATGATGTTAATTGCCAACATTTCTATAGTTGTTATTGCGTGTCAGGCTCTCTTTTAAGCACTTCATGTACTCTTTCGTAGCCCTCCATAAGGCAGGCACTATTATTATTCCCATTTTACAGATGGGGAGAGCAAGGAAGGTCACAAAGCTAGTGAGTGGCAGAATCAGGACTCCAGCACAGAAAAACTGGCTCTAATTTCTACAACTTAACTACTATGCTTTACTCCTTTCTTCCTTTTATTCAGAAATAGTCGTTTGTAATAGATACATTTGGGAAAATATTTACTTATAAAGGTAGGTTGAAGAATAAATGTATAACTAAATATTAAACTTTGTAATATGTTCCAAACCAGTATAATATGCACTTGGCAAAAGTGTAGAAAAGAGCACAGGCTGTTGTTCTCTTACCTAACTACAGGCACATGTCCCACACAGCCTCCCTTCTCATTGCCACGCCCAGGCTGAAGCTGCGAACCCTGGGTGGGGGTCTTGCTTCTGGGTGTGGACACGGGGACATCCCAGCTCCATGGGTAGCCTGGGAGCATGGGCGACACACAAAAGATGCACACAGTGCCCCTCCTTGGGGCACAGTCATTTAGATGCAAAGAAGGGCTGTTCATTTGTTTAGCAAATACTGACCACCTACTATGTGCCATTCTTCTTTGCTCCTGGGATTTAGCAGTAAGCAAAACAGATAAAAATCCTTCTAGAAGTTTAGTGGAAGAGACAGACAATAACAAGATAAATAAGCAAAATATATAGTAGGTTGGACAATTTAAGTACACAGGAAAAAAAGTAAAGTAAGGAAAAAGGATAGAAAAATTAAGTGGGACCAAAAATTTAGACTAGTGAAAAGGACAATCTTTCTGAGAAGATGGTATTTGAGTTGCAAAAAGCATCTTTTTGTGCCATCCTTCCCCAAAATGAAATTTTCCACAAAGGATGATCATGTGAAGATTACAGTGTAAAAAGAGTTATTAAACCGCCATTTTTTCAATCACCCAGAGTTAGCCAAAATAAAACCACTGATCAAAACACAGCTTTCACAGATTTACCTGGAGAAAAAAGGAACAGAAAAAATGATTCCTCACACACAGAACTGATCTCTTTCTCCTCTGTTTTCCATGTACTGAGGTGGTCTGGCCACCCTGCTTACTCACGCAATGGATACATGTACGAGAACAAGGGTTGGTGAGTTAAAAATAATATTAACTCTTTGCTTTTGCTATCCAATTCCAAATTTTGGGTGATT